AACGCTAGCCCCCTACTGTGGTGCCGGTTTTTCTCCAGTTTTCGCCGAGGTTCTCAAGCGTCGCCGCGCCTGATCTGGCGCGGAAGTTGGACAGGGGTCGCCCGCCCCCCTGCCCCCGCCTCCCCTTCTTCCCCCGACCATCCCTCAAAAAACCCGGCTGAGACTCTTTGGACCATTTGGACAGGCGCAGGGGTTGGACAGTGGTGGCCCCCCTCCCCCCTCTTGAAAATATCGAAGGCCGTGGAAGTAGTTCGCGGAGTCTGAGTCTCAAGCACGGGGTGGAGCTCTTTGAAGTTTGCTCCTCTTGCAGGGTTGTCGCGCGTGCTTGTTGAGTGTCGGGGGGGAATGTGTCGGGGGGAGTAGTGCCGGGGACTTGCGACCGGGTTTAGGAGAAGTGGCTTCAAGCTTGCGGTCTTGCGAAGAGGGTCGCGCAGGGGTCGGACAGGCACAGGGGTTGGACAGGGGTTGGACAGGGGTTGGTCGAAATCTTTTGACCATTATAACTCTTTTAATATCATTGACTCAAGATTTAGATTATGACGATGAACAAATAGAGATACTTTTCGACACATTTGGTTTTTCCCAGTTATGAAGGGTCTGAGACTGTATTTACTTATGATCTGAAACAAGGTGATCTTGATCTTCCTGATCTTGGTCGCGACCCTTATCATCTTGGTACCCAGATTCCCAGCAGGATTACCTACAGCATACACGATTAAAGTATTCACCCCTGGAGTGGATACATTCATCATTCACTCACCCAATGAACCAGAAGAAAAAGTGCGCATCCTGATAAGTGCGCACCCACTCTGCTAAGTCCAACTCTCTGGAAGAGCAAGTTTTTACCAACTGTCCTGAGAGAAGCAGGGCGTGGGTTCCACAAGTCTGCGCCTCCTCATACAGTCTTTTCGACGAGGTCAATTCAGTATCAAGCGAGTAGCTATCGCATGTCCTCGCTCGTCTAATATTGTATTATATAAATATAACAGTGTCGCCATATTGTATTTTTCCTAAAAATTGTTGGTACCTGCTGCCCGTTCCTACCTTTCAGAGATGACGAGACTCCATCAGTACCTTGCTAATGAGCAGTAGTGTCTCCATGGTGCTTGCGTTCCTCTAACTTAGGTCGGCAATTATTGCCGTGCTTCGTTGATTCAGGTTCAGCATTACAGAGTCAGTCCTGTTCACCAAGAGCATCAACATTGTTAATCTCGTGGCTGATTTATTATCTAGTAGAGAAAGGCTATTGTTATTAAGCAACTGCTAGACCAATAGCCCACCTAGTGCGGACACTGATTAGATGCAACGCCAAACCGCGCTAGCAACTTGCTGACTATGAACCTCCATAGGGATTAGCGTTAGCCCGGTGCACTACATAAGCTGCACGGGGATAGGTTATGTGGTGGCCGTTGTTGTTGTTGTTGCTTGTTCTGCTGCTTACTGAGTACCTAGCTACCCCGTGGGCCTTCTCATTCTTGGCCTTTCTCCTGGGTGCGTGCTTTCCGGTTGACCTTCCTCACGATGTGACCTCTATCGTGTTGACCTTCTTCACCCTGATCATCCTGGCGGCGATCTTCCTGCCCTTCCTGATCCTCGTGGTGATTCTGATCTTGACCTTAAGAGGCGGAACGCGGGGGGGATCTCGGTCACGTTGGTACCCAGTAAGTCACAAGACCCACGGCCCCAACAGTGACACTTATCAGCTTGGTCACACGTTCGTCTTCTTTGGTGAATTTTAATGGAGCAGGCAGGCAGCTCCTTTCTTGTCTGACTGCTAATTAAACTTACTGTTGCTTCTGTGATTATGGAAGACCAAGATGATTGTGAATTGAATATCAGGGAGGTGCAAGTAGCTAGTAGGTCTAAGATGGGTGGCGCAGTGAATACATGGTCGCTATGGCCTGTGTTGACAATAGACCGCGCTACCCGTGCTATAGCTCACAGAGTGCGACAGAAGCGCTCCCGGCCGTTGCAAGCCATCGCATGGCAGGAGCACAATTTTGTTTATTTTTCTGCGATGCGATCCGCCTGTTTTGTGCTGTCGGACGCCGGGCGACAGTACTAGAGTGACCCCTCCCCGAAGCATACTTCTCCCATATCTATTTGCACCCAGGCCCACTACGTAGCCGCGCCTGTATTTCCAACTTTCTACTTCTGTTCATACAGAGCGAAGTACTTTTCGGTCATGAGCTCGCCAACTACTACACCTAGACGCAGTAGGCGACGGATGGGAGTAATGTCGATTAAGAGGAAAGGCAATTCAGAACTCAGTAACTACTTGCCATCTGCTGTTCCCTAATTATAGTACTATTGGGCAATGCGATGAATGTAAATCATTTCAATGAGTTTAGTTATACATAGGTTCTCTGTTGTTGTAGACTTCTTCCTGAAAATCATTCTTGAATTTTTCATATTGGGCCTCATTGTGAATCATTTTTTTGGATGGTGTCTGTGTCTTTTTTTTTCGTCTTCTATTTTTTCCACAACAGGAGGAAGGCCAGTGCGGCGTGGTGTTACACCTTACAAAGGTTAGGGTGGTCACTGATGTCGTAACTAATATTTTGTGTAATAAATAAGGTTAAGGCAAAGCAGAGTGCATCCCGTTAGACAGTATGATCTTTGGCTTCGTTTTCAACGGCACATCGTTCCCTTTGACGTTTTTTTCCGAACGAGTCACCCATGTGCTTTTAGATTCACCATGTTGAGAGAGAAAATAGAGAGTCAAGAAGTGTCATGGTGGTCTGAAGGTGAGAAAGTCGATTATCGAAGACGGTGAGCTAAATGGGGTTGGGGCTAGTTGTAAGTAGTAGCAGAGTTACACTCGTAGTTTGGCTTCGGCTCGCTGGGCAAGGCTGACGTGGAGACCTCTTTGTTTTGAATGGAGTGCCTTCGTCGCCTCTTGTGTTTCTAGAAAATAGACGTAACTGATGATTATAAGTCTAGCTGGGTAATGGTCATGATTTCTGACGTACACCTCGTGTTTGGTAAATGAATGAATGAATGAGTGAATTTCCGCTGAAAAAGTTATGGCGACCGAATTTGTCTACTCCAGTTATAATATCACGACTGGCGAACAGTATAAATATGCACTACAAGGGTCGTTCTTTCATCGAAGAGGCCATGTCCTCTACCAATGGCAAAATATGTAATTCTAAAAATTGCTGGCATTGGCAACATGAGGAAGATGAAGGAAGCATTACAGGCATCGCCGAATAGTCACAGGTCCTATCGGTAAAAGTTCTAGCCGTCTTCACTTCGTGCGTATTCATAGCTGTGCTGTTGGTTGTTGAAGAAGAACGAGAAAAGCATCTTCTTGCCGCATTACATATTAAAGACTACATAGGAGCACTTCTTAATCCACATATTATGGGGAAGTAGGCTTGGCTATCGATACTGAGTAAAGTCATTATAGTCTTCGTCATATTTTGAACTATCGACATTGATAGAGCAAAAGATACTAGTACAGAACTAGTCAGCTAGGGCGGTGCCCTGCGGAGGCAACTCGATTGTGGGTCTGTTTGTTCCTCCGTTATCCAGCGCCGCCGCTCGTTAGACGGCCGCATATAGTTGATTGATTGGCTGGCTGGCTGATTGGCTGACTGACTGACTGACGGGTAGCGAAGCTGAAGCACTGAAAGGAAAGCGCATCATCGTGAAAGATAAAGACAGCTCTCGCGTGAAAAATCAGACGCGTCGATATAATAGAATCACGCGCCCGCGTGTTTGCTTGTCGTCATATTAATGCTAAAGAGATGCGCGCAAGCGTCTTCGTGTGTGTCTAATTTTTTCCCCTACCCGTGTCTCAACCTGCTTCCCCGGTGTTTCCTTTGGTTCTGTATCCGTGTCGCAATCTGTTCCCTCCGTGTCTCTTTTGGTTTTTCTGTACCCGTGTCTTTATGATCTGCTTCCCCGGTAAGTATCTCTTTTCATTCTGTGCCCTTCTCTCGTTATTATTAGTAGCCTGCTTGGACTTGGTTATTCATCAACATTCGAGATCGAGCGACCGAAAACCGAAATAAGGAAGCAGGACTCGGGCTACCGCGTTTCGCCTCCTGACTATGTAAGCGAGTAGTAACTGACTAGAATAGCCGAGATACTGAACAAGGAAGAGTAGCCTGCTGGAGCTACCTGTGCATCCCTTATTTCAGCCAGGAGCGAACTGCTTCTAGAATTCGACTAGGTCATAGGACTTCGCAGCCAACAACTTTTACCAGGTCGGTCTTCGGTTATGTTTGACGAAGGAGGCCTTTGAATACTCACCCCTAGCACTTTTACAGCTTGAAAATTGGGGGTGGACTCATGATCGAGAGAGCCTATCCTAAAAATCTAGCTGCGACACGAAGAGGGCTGACGCGTGTATGTGTTGCATTCCTTACGTGGTAAAAGTGTTAATATGGTTTCTTTTTGCAGCGTTCGAGGGCTTATATTGTTTAATATGAAGAGAATGAACTCACTGCGTAAAAGCTGCAGCGGGCTATTTATTAAGTAGCCGGAGGCGCCTGGAGGTGGGGTCTAAACCTCACAAGGGAGACAGCGCAGGGACGAACTAGGCCACAGACATGCCTGGGCAATGTTGTGGCGCCACTCTGCTCGCCCCTTCCAGTGACTGTCACTCGACTGCTGAAAGCCGGCCGCGTTTTCTTTGATTTGGTGGAATAAGCTGCTGGTGCTGACGTGATTGACCTACTGAGTACGAGTAGGTGACCTCATGGCCCTACTTCTTCAGCAGGGTTCTGATTAAGTCTATCTATATACAGGCACCCGCATACCCATTCATATTCATAGGTAATTTCTCACTCGGCATTCTTGCTCTCCTTGTGAGGTACAGGAGTGCTGATAGGGCTTACCCCTGGCAGTGAGCTCAGGAGGAGAGGCAAGACGCTGGCGTGACGCGCTCCTTGTTGATTGTACAAAAGTAGAACGCTCGCGCCGTTTATACATGTTGAGGAGAGTAGTTTTTCCACCAAAACAGACTGAGAAGTCGCGCTAGCGCAAGTCCGTCGCTATGTCTCTAAAGCGGTGCTATGATTGTATTAATACATAGAAGAACACCCTCACCCAGGTGATCTGTAGCACATACAAGGCCACTCTCATCCATTGAACCTGAAGCAATAGATGATCATGGCTTTCCTTTTAAACGTTGCCAGACCCGCACCTCCCTCGATAAGGATTCAGTAGGAGACTATTCATAAATATGAAGACTCGGGTTTCTTAGGACATGTTGCATCGGCGCTGCTGTTCGGCGGTTGTGTTCTTGAGCCCTTGCTCACTTCATAAAGCTTAGGAATTCTAGAAGACCATGTAGCAAGGTTTCAATTTTCCAAAAATTAGAAAAATTCTGAATTTTCCAGAAAATGGAGCGCAGCACTACTGGCAAGAAGCCACGCAGTTAACTTAGAGAGATTGGGCCGAGCCTGTGCGAGTGAGTCTGCGCTGCGCGAGGAAGTCTGCGCTGCGCGAGCGAGTCGGCGCTGCGCGGGCGAGTTTACTCGGCGCGTCCGAGTGTGAGCCGCGCGAGCGAGTCTTCCTTGTGCGGGCGGGTCTCTCTGCGTCTGCGCTGCGCGAGCGAGAGGAGCCCGCGCCGCGCGAGCGAGTCTGGACGGTGCTGCGCGCGCGAGTCTGCGCGGCGCGAGTGGGTCGGCGCTGCGCGAGTGGGTCTGCGCTGCGCGAGTGACGTGGGTGGGTGAGTCTGCGCCGTGCGAGTGGGTCTGCGCTGCGTGAGTGAGTCGGCGCGGCGTGAGTGGGTCTGCGCTGCGCGGGCGAGTCTGTCTGCGTGGGCGTGTCTGGGCTGCGTGGGGCGAGCAAGTCCTGCGCCGCGCGAGCGATTCTGCATCTGCGTGCGCTGCGCTAGCGAGTCGGCGTCGCGTGAGAGAGTGACGAGTCTGCTGCCTGACTTGTGTGCGCTGCGCGAGTGGCTGCGAGTCTGCGTTGCGTGTGTGAGTCTGCTTTGTGTGAGCGAGTCTCTCTGCGCTGCGTGGGTGGGCGTGTCTGCGCTGCGCTGCGTGGGTGGGACGTGGGTGAGTCTGCGCCGCGCGAGCGAGGAGCCTTCGCTGCGCGGGTGGGTCTGCGTGGTTGTGTGGGTGAGAGTGAGTTTGCGCTGCGCGGGTGAGTCTGCGCGGCACGAGTGAGGCCGCGCGGCGTGGGCGAGTCAGTCTGCGCAGCGCGAGCGAGTCTGCGCTGCGCGGGTGAGTCTGCGCGGCGCGAGCGGGCTTGCGCTGTGTGAGCGGGCTGGCGCTGTCTATTCTGAGGTGGGTCTGCGTTGCGCGAGTGGATCTCTCTGCGCTGCGTGAGCGGGTCAGCGTTGCGTGAGCGGTTCTGCGCTGCGCGGGTGGCTCTGGTCTGCGTTCCGCGGGTGCAAGAGTCTGCGGCTGCGCCGCGTGAGCGATTGCGCGCGGCGTGAGTGGGGCTGCGCTGCGTGAGTAAGTCAGCGCTGCGCGGGTGAGTTTGTATTGCGCGAGCGCGCCTGGGTTGCGTGGGTGAGTCTGCGCTGCCCAAGCGAGTCTCGTCTGCGCTGCGCGAGCGAGTCTGGTCGTGGTGTGGTCTGCGCTGCGTGAGCGAGTCTGCGACGCGCGAGCGAGTCTGCGCTGCGCGAGCGAGTCTGCGCTGCGCGAGCGAGTCT